TTTCAGGATCTTTGTATCAGCCATCAGAAGGATGGTATTAAATTTGCCTAATAGTAAGTTGTTGTCAAAATTTTTTATTGGAACAGACCATGAACAATCTTTATGCCAGACATAGGGCATGCATGCCAGTTTTAATTTTTACCAGGCCAACTGTAAAATTACCTGTCTTGGGTGCACAAGCAAGCAGAATTTTGAAAATTCTAGGTGAAGTACATGTACACGACTGCTACACAAGCAATCATTTGTGATATTGACAGCCCTAAAATTGTCAAAATATACCTAATCAAAGGAAAAACTGAATCTCACTGTTAGTAAACAACGAAAAGTGTTATGAAAATCCTGGGATCATGATCGATCAGTTGGGAAAGATAATTCGTTGCAAAGTTAAAATACATGTTTAATGTATTTGAATCAGCTGTACCTAGTCTCTGTAAACTGTTTCAATGAACATTTTTGTGAAGACCAGTTGTGAAAATTTGTAGCAATAATTTCACCACGGTTCTCCAGGGACAACTCATGAAATTTAGTGACTAGATTGCCATTATTGAAAGAATGGCATCACTTTATAGTATTTCATGGACTAGTGTTATAGAAGTGAAAGGGAAAAAAAAAACAGTATGAAAGTGAAAACACAAGTTACTAAATTTAATATGCTGGAAACAGTTGGACAAAGGCAATTTGAATAATTACCATATTAAACAAATTACCATATTCTATGCATTAACTTTGGATCTGTATGTACCAAAGAAATGGAAAGGAAAAGTTGCATCACCAAACCAACAGTAGCAGTGATATGGTAGAAAGACAAGTAAATTTTAAGTGATTGTTGAAAATAATTTATATTTGAATAAAAGTTATATGCAAGGGAAATGTGGTTTCATATACATAATAAGGTTCTAAAATGATTAGAGACCACCTGGAATATAGCACAACTTGAATAATGAATTTTTTTCATAATTTGTTCTTAATTGACTTAAGCATATGGAAACTTTAAATTAATACACTTATTGGCGAGATTGATATTTTGCGATGTGAACAGAGTGTATGCATCTATACCAAGGCAACACAGGTCTACCACCCTAACAATTAGAGCTTGGGTCACAAACATTGGCAATATTGCAAAACGGGTAGGCAGCATGTCAGAAATTATTCTAGCTAATACTACAAAATGCACTTATTGGTGTTTTGAAAAATTGGACATGAAAACTCCAGCTTTGCCAGGTTGGTAGTTAATTTAATTGCTAAATGAAGGTTATCATTAACAAGATCTGAGGTCATTGTGCACACTGCTGATATTTTCTGCAAAGAAAACGTTTCTACCCACATGTGCACACTTCTATGATACGATACATTGAATTTCTAAACTGAAATCACAGAAGACAACATGGTTATTTATAGCATTACTGTATGCATGTAACTAGGCATGTACAGGGATAACTTTGTTCATGTCATTGACTTTTAAAACCAAATTATTTGTAGATTAATCAATTTTTGAAAGCCACTGTGACTGAAATTGTGAACAGTTTATAGTCACGGCTCAGAATTAACTTTTTTGAGAGAGAGCCCGGGTGGGTAGATAAATTTTATTTGCAGTTGGGTACAATAAGTGTCACTTTTGCCAATTTACCAATGGCTAAGAGGGATTACAACCCATTTGAAAAACAAGTCATCACCCACAGCAATATACCGTAAACATGTGGAAAATGTATTGCTTGATACATGGTGTATGTTACAGTAGTTTAATATCCAATTTTCTGAAATAATTCATGATTTTTTTTCCTCATTTGCAAAGTGGCTAATTGAATTGGGAATTGGCTAAAAAAATGTAGTTTTAGCCAACTGGCTAAAGCTACACAATCATTAGCAGAATCCTAGAATTTCAAAAGCTTACAGCCTGACAATGTTTGGTAGTCTATCAGTGGTTTGGTAATTTGGTATGTTAGTGGAGATATTTTTAGTTACCTGAAAATTACTAGTAGTCCAAAGTGGTAGCCTTGGTACAAGAATTGCTAGTAGACACTACTTTTTGAGCATTGGCAGTTATTATATTTTGCATACATATAAATAGAATTCTAAAACCAAAAATTACATTTGATAGCCAGAGTGTGATAAAAGCCCATGGATTACTATATTTGTTGAAATCTTCTTCTTGCTTACTTCTAAGCTACTGTGTATTTTGTTTCTCAAGGTCGTATTGAGTTTATCTAGTTGGCTTTCAAGTAAATGTGATCTTTTCAGGCAAAAATACGATATGCTTGAAACAATTAATTTTAAAAGTTGATGAGATTGGCATGTTAAATGCAGATTCAGAAGCCACGTAAACAATGTCGTTTTTCATAAAAATGCGACCGGTCTTATCTTTAAAAAGCAAAACATTTTACCGTTTTAATTCAAGACAATTCTCCTGAAACACAGAATCACTGAATTTAACAATTAGAGGGCAGATAATGCCAGACAACACAATGGACTACATCAACCCATGATAACAGTGACGATGTATCAGCTTGGACCACAGAACATCGACTGTACTATCAGTGATGACGTTGACACGTGGGAATCTTCTCTGCCACGCATTGAAGTAAAGTCCTTCAGACGAATAAAACACGTACTTTTTTGTTGTTAACTTGTGTTTGCGACTCGCATAATCAGAAAATTGACGATTTCTTACAATGTCGACAGTGAAATTTAAAATGAATGACCAAAACCAAAATGTAATCGGAAGATTTGAGAATGTGTACTTTGAGTTTTTGAGTCTGTCTCGTAACAGCTGGACGTTTTCTATTACAAAAACGCTGACGAAAACATGGCAATATATACCATAGTAAATTGAGCGTTTCATCCATTCCTCAGAACTGACTTGAAAAAAATTAACAGAATTCGAGTCTTAAGTTTAGAAAGAATATAGTTATCAAAGTGCACAAGTGAGGGAGGGGTTCGAGATAGGAAAGTCTGATTTACTTACGCGATGGTGCTGTTAGCCGTAAAGTCCGTCCCAAATATGAAGCAAGGGTCTTCAGAGCTCCAGTGTGGCTGATAATCAGTCTAAGAAAATTAAAACAACTCTGTTAATAATATTGACAACGATTAATTTCAAGAAAACCATACAGAATCAAAGATTTACACGTAACAGTCCACGTACCACGGACAAAAAATAAAATGGCAGTTCAGCACTTCCTCTGAAATTAAATATCCATCCGCGCTAAATAGTAGTTCGTGCTAAAAAAAATCTCAATAATGATTGGCCAATAAAGAAAAAATTAGCATTTCGTGGCAGCGTTAACCCAATCAGAAATTCTCTTATAGTGGACGAAGACGCCAAAACTTGTTTTTTCGACGAAAAACCTATGCTGTATGAATATAGTTTATCTTTAAACATACGTATATGCTGTATGATATTCAATAGCGTTCACTGTGGACGTACTGGTGTAACAGATGACGAGTAAAACGACGACGCTAAAGTAGTGTTATAGTTCGATGGCGTAGGGTTTTATTAAAGGAGCAGTTATCACTACTGGGTTCAAAGGTGAACGATTGTTTCTTCATTGCCATTGCTAAATGTATTCGGTTTGTGGTGTGTTGTATATTACGTTCTCTGTGTTAACAACACAATGTTACTATACACCGCATACATGAAAGAAATGCAGTACGTTTTATTTATATTACATTTTTTATTTAATCCGAATTTGTTACATCAAATATATTTTCTGTTTATTTTCTATTTTTTTTTCTATTTAAATTTGATAAAGGAGTTAAAATGTTTAATTTCTGGTGTTGATCCTAGAAGCGCCTGCAATTGAAAAAAAAGTAATTACACTTTATAAATGGTACCTGGTTGCATGCCACGTCGCCCTCTTGTGCGCCCTCTGGCGACGAAAATTTTGCGAAAAATTGCCTTGGTTTTTCGTTGCCAGAATCATTTATGAAGTTTACCCAATTTTGTATTATGTCGTTGTATTTTTTTTGAAACTCGACAAAATTCGTGTTGCATTCGACTATGTGGAGACTGTATAGACTGTCAACATAAGACACCAACATTTTTTTGAGAGGGATAGGTTTTTAGAAAGATAATTTTTGCGCGACTACGACCTGGGACCTGGACAAATGTACACTGACTCAATTGTTTTTTTCACTATCACCACACTGATTATGAGACTTGGTTATATTTCATCATTTGCAAGATGGAATTTCCGACATAGATTTATAATGAGTCGAACCCTTAAAGTTTCATAAACTTCTCTATATTTATAGTATCAATAGAGAGTCCAATATTAAAACCACGCACCAAAAATACGCACACAACAAAACGTCACCCTGACTAGTACTTGCACAACATTTGCACGAAACATATTTGGTTAATTATGACCCAGGACCAGACAATGTCTGAATGAATGGTTACGATGATAGCTGCAGGAAACGTGAGCGCCAACAACCGTTGTGTTCGATCACTAGTTTTTATGTAAACAAAAATGGTTGCACAAAGAAACATTCATGAGATTATAATTATTGACGCAAATATAAAACAAAAATATGTAAACCAATGGGAGTCACAACTTTCAAAAGATAAAAGTAAACTTATAATATTTGCAAAAATCGAACTTTTTGGGCCATATTGGACATTACAAAACACTAATCACAGAAATGTATTACTAAAATTGAAAACAAGCACACACAAGCTTGAAATTGAAAAAGGCAGGTACACGCACCCTAAAACACCACTAGATTCAAGAAAGTGCAAACAGTGCGACATGAATATGATTGAGGATGAATTATTTCATGATATGGAAACTTGCGCCATCAACTTTTGTCTGAATTAAATTTTCTACCACACGATTGATTCACACAATATGAAATTATTAAAAAGGTCTCACAGTTTATTTACAAAGCCTTTCAAGAAAGAATAGATAGTTGATAGTTTTGAATCATATAATATCGCGTAACAAATCGTAAAACATCCCCAAAAATCATATAATATCGCGTAACAAATCGAAAAACACCCTCGAAAATCATATAATATCGCGTAACAAATCGAAAAACACCCTCGAAAATCATATAATATCGCGAAACAAATCGTAAAACATCCCCAAAAATCATATAATATCGCGAAACAAATCGTAAAACATCCCCAAAAATCATATAATATCGCGTAACAAATCGAAAAACATCCCCAAAAATCATATAATATCGCGTAACAAATCGAAAAACACCCTCGAAAATCATATAATATCGCGTAACAAATCGTAAAACATCCCCGAAAATCATATAATATCGCGTAACAAATCGAAAAACACCCTCGAAAATCATATAATATCGCGTAACAAATCGAAAAACACCCTCGAAAATCATATAATATCGCGAAACAAATCGTAAAACATCCCCAAAAATCATATAATATCGCGTAACTATTCGTATAACATCTCCGACAATCATATAATATCGCGTAACTAATCGTAAAACATCCCCGAAAATCATATAATATCGCGTAACAAATCGAAAAACACCCTCGAAAATCATATAATATCACGTAACTAATCGTAGAAAGAACTAGACAAATGATAACATATTGGATGAAGATAAGAGATATGCCAGAAAACACACTAATGAGCGAAGCATAATGAGCTTGGTTTGAAAATCCACAAATTAGTAGATACACAAAATTGGGTAATCTTTGTCCGTAGTGTGACTTAAATATTAGATGGAAAATAAACAATGAAGCCTTAATAAAAGACTTCTGTGAAAAATTGAAGTTCAATGTCAGAAAAGATATAAACTATTTATAAACAATGACGACAAAGGCACATAACATAAAAATAAAATGAGAATATACAGAAAATTAAAAACAGGGTTTTCCCTAGAGAAATAATTGAAATGAAAAACCCACAATATCGCTCTGCAATTACCAAACTGAGGATAAGTGCCCATCGTTCATAGATTGAAATAGGAAAGTACAATAATGTACCAATCTCTGTTCAGTTTGTGTGAATTATTAGTATTAATTGATATTTTAAACAATAAGGTTGAACAAATGACGAATGATGTAGCAAAACACATTAATAACATTACTGTTTTAATACACGAGAACATACTTATAAAATCTTTTGTTCAGGGAAACAATAAATCAAAGGGAAAAATTAAAAATACAGGATCGAATTTCAATACCACCTTTCTACGATAACGTGACTTTCGTGGTCACTGTCATCATAGTGGTGCCGCCATTTTCAATTTTATCCATGTTACACATTTACCAGACGTATTGATTTTGGAGGTCAAGTGGCCATAAAACAAACATAACATTGAAAAAAAAAATATTAATCTAAACTTTAAACCAGGGTTTTTCTAAATATATACAGGTTTGGTGGTTTCATGTACGCCCTTCTTTCAATTTGTAGATCTGCATTTCCCTTGCCAATAAACTAACTCGCTACATTAAAAGTGAAATGCTTGAATCAGCTGCTCCAGAAAAAAACAAATCAACCATTTTTTTTCTGTCTAGAAATGTGAGTGTCCTGTGTTTGTTCCTGTATTGTTAGTGTCGATTATATTTTTAGGTCTTCAGAATTCACTATTCATTTATTGTTCTTTTCATTTTATTTATTTATTTATTTATTTATTTATTTATTTATTTATTTATTTATTTATTTATTTATTTGTTTGTTTGTTTGTTTGTTTGTTTGTTTGTTTGTTTGTTTGTTTGTTTGTTTGTTTGTTTGTTTGTTTATTTGTTTGTTTGTTTGTTTGTTGTTTGTTATTATTTATTTATTTTATTTATTTTTTTATTTATTTACGATAGCAACAACGAATCTATTCTATTCATTTGAACTATCAATATTACTATTCTGATTGCGAAATAGTAAGCTATATTACTGCTGAATTAGTTGTTTTTTCGTTCACCAAATGGAGGTAACCTGACGTGTTAACAGCTCTCATCCAGCTATAGTCAAATAATTTGTATTTAAACATAGACCTAATTTTTTTGTTTCTTGAAAAGTCTTAATTCATAAGCTTCGCTGATCTTCCCAAATTGTATGTATGTCAAATTACATTAGTGATTTGCTACAACTATGATTATTGCGTAATATACTAACACGATTTATTTATTTATTTATTTATTTATTTATTTATTTATTTATTTATTTATTTATTTATTTATTTATTTATTTATTTATTTATTTATTTATTTATTTATCAATCATTAACATCATAATTTGTTGGTGGAATGAATTGTATTCATTTATTCGTTTGTTCACCTGATCGATTGTTCATACTGTTAAATAGCGCCAACTGTGGTGACATGACGTGAAGCACGCCGGGAGGAGTGTGATTGGTGAGCTGATAATATCGGAAATCAGGTCACTTTCTCCAGGCGCCGGTTAACTATGGTAAGTGTGACAGGTCACTCTACGACATCGTCACAATTCGCGACCTTTTTGGTCCTCTTATGGTATTATCAATATCGCCTTATTTGCTGTGTACTGTGTCATGGGCGTACTAACGTCCATGATTGTATCCAGTACTTGTACTGTGTTGTCTCTGATATATGATATGATTGTTCTAAAGAAGATTGTAATGTGAATTTAATTTACATATCTGCAACAGTCTCTGTGATGCTGTATGTTCATGCTAACTCTATGACCACCTGTTATGTTTTAGTACATTGTCATTAAAATCCTATTAAAACCACAGTTTTTGTTACAATGTTACAATTTAAAAATAAATAGTTCAAAATCATGAAGTCTGGGCTGTTAGTAATAGGTGCATTATGACAAGCTCTATTGAAAATTTCTACTCAAAAAAAATTCAAGGTCTAAAATTCATTCATGATCTAAATACAGTAACAAACCATTCAATTTGGGGGAAAAAAATCACTGCAAACTCATCTTGGAATCATCTCTCTCCTCAACATGATATGCCAACCACAGTCAGCTGGTGTACAAGTGATTATAAAATAAATGTAATTAATTTACCAATTTTTACTCTATGGGGGCAGCCATCTTGAATACGGCATGAATCTTAAATAAAGAGTTTAAAAAACAGGTTTTTCAGTTTCCTACAGATTTGTGAACAGTCTCTTGACTTGAGACCTTTGCAAGGGTTTCCTTGCTAGTGATATTAATGGGATTTCAAAAACGTCACAAATTAACCTTGCCTGAAACTAAAGCATTTTTCTAAAGTGTAGAAATTTTGTATATTTTGATAACCTTTGTAAATTAAGGTAGAGATGCAGGTTCGTGGGCACTTGGGAGTGAATTTTTTTTTTTTTTTTTTGCTTTTATTATCCAAAAAGTCTTGGCTATAGACTATTGTAGAATTGTGCATAGTGGAACATACTCAAAAAACGATTTCAAAATATAGATAACAGGTGCAAAATTATCTCTTTTGAATACTTAGCAAGATTTAGCAAGGCTGTACATAAATAATAAAAAAAAACATGGTGAAAAAAAGAAATGACGGGATCTCCATATTATTTATGCACTGTATTTAACTTTTTACAAAACGATAATACATTTAAATTTGGAACTGTTACAGCCATTTTAATTATGAGCATTAGCAAACTTCTTACTGAGTGAATTGTTATGCAAATTAGCAATTATTTCAGCTTCTTTTTAGAGCACATTCCAGAACTTTAAAAAAAATAGCTCCTATACGCTTTGACCTTCTGTTTTGAAATTTTCACAAATGATTGACAATGTGTTTATTTTCAAAACGCCGTCGGGGCATTGTTTTTAGTTGAATAGTGTTACAGCAATCGTACAGACAACTAGCCTGGGTGTTAATTTATGCATAAACTTGAAGTAGTGAAATTTGAGCTGCTGCCCTGCAAAATTGACAATCGGTAGACAGTTTTCAAGATGGCGCTTTCTTCATAGTAAACAGATGTACCCGTAAACCAATTTTGATAGGAAACAGAAGCATGGTTTAGAAGCTAATTTTTTTTAAATCACTTTTGACCAAAAAAGCACATTTTTGTGCATATTTAAAACTACAGTGTCCATAAAAATATAATACTAACAAAACTTTAAAATTCATACAATAAGCTTTCCGAAAATATAGTTTTGTGGACAAGGTAGGTCATCTTGGTTTCCTAATTAACTAATTAAAATACCTGTCAGGTAAACTGCATCTCTACCTTAACTCCCTTGATGTGCCACTTGTTACAACATGGATAATTTAGTCTTCCAAATTTCTGTTTTTAATATACGTTTCATACATCATAATCACAGTAAACAGGAATAGCTAGAAATATTTATAAACATCAATGGATTTTACTCCAGCTTGTTGTAATCTCATTAAATATTGAATATTCTATTCTTCATTATTTTTGTGAGCAAACGAAAATTGTGAAATTAAAAACAAGTGAACTCCTGTTCTAGTTCTAAATAACGTTGCTATACAATACTGCCACCAATGTGATTTGCAGGGCATAAATTCAGATCTTTAAATAATTTTATTTTTTACAAAAATAAATGATCAAAAAAAAAATATAGAAAAATCCATGTTTTTTTTAATTTCAAGGACATATCAAAGTTTCGAATTCTTGGTCTGACTGCTGGGAGCTTCACACCATTCAAGCCAAATGGGTGAGTTTATTAGTCCCAGTAATACATAGATTGAAACAGTGACATTCGTTTTGGGTTCAGTTCATTCTTCTGGTTCATCCATCCATCCCTCCATCTGTGTATGTATCCGACATCATTTCTTAGACTGATACCTAAGTTAGTGCAAAGACAGTCATTATGAGAGACGTATGTACATCACTTCCAGA